CCTGCCCCCCCCCCCCCTGCCTGGCCCTGCCCCCCCCCCCCTGCCTGGCCCTGCCCCCCCCCCTGCCTGGCCCTGCCCCCCCCCCTGCCTGGCCCTGCCCCCCCCCTGCCTGGCCCTGCCCCCTGCCTGGCCCTGCCCCCCCTGCCCCCTGCCTGGCCCTGCCCCCCCCCTGCCCTGCTGCCCTGCCTGCCCTGCCCCCCTGCCCGCCCCCCCCGCTACCCGGCACCTGTTGCCTGGTTGCCGCTCTCTGTGTCTGCTTTAATGAATGGCTGAAGTTGCGGGATCTGCTGCCGCTCCTGGTGCCGCTCTCCCCCCGGGGCCAGGTGCCACTTACCTTCGCTCAGGTTTCCTGATGCCTCTCCTTCTCTCCACAATATGGCGCTCCCTTGATCTGCTGCCGTCCTCTCCCCTCACCCAGCCCTCACCTGCCTGGCCTGGCCTGCCCTGTCCTGCCTGCCCGCCCCCTGCCTCCTCCCTTCCCCACACACTGATAAGTCCGCACTCTCAGTACTGCAGGGCTGTGCCTGTCCCATCTGAACTCACCTGCACCACAGGGAGAGAGAGAAAGAGAGGCAATCAGACACCACCAGCAAAGCAGCCTCTTGCCACCCTCTCAGGGTCAGGGTTAGGGTCAGGGTGAGCCCAGGGTCCGAGGTACAAGGGCAGTGATGACATGGAAGCTGCGAGACCCCTTAAGCAACTTCAGAAAGCCGAAGGCATCTCTGCACAGGGCGAGGAGGCCACTTGTGATCCTGACCTGGATTAGGGTGTGTGTCACCGGGCTATCGACTCGTAGAATTGCCTCCTAAACCTCTCTCCTCCCAACTACATTTTATGCTTAAAAAGTTAATGATAAATAGCAGAGTATCACTGCCACCAGCCTGATGCTAATAATTTGGTATAGAGCACCTTTCACATCAGGAGGATCTCGGGGTATACTGTAAAGTGTAGTGACTGTGTACTTTGTAAGCTAATTTGCACAGTGAGTGTTCCTCAAACAAGCATGGAGTGAGTGACTGATTTTTTTTAGGGGATTGTTAGCCAGAATACCAGGAGAAACTCCTTTCTCGTTTGCACTAGTGATGGGAGCTTTAACTTCCACCTGAAGAGGCCTTTGTTTATGTCTCATTCGAAGGACGGCACCTGTAACAGTGGAGCATTCCCCAAGCACTGCACTGAAGTGACAATTTAGATTATTTGAGTTCATATAGTCGATGGAGTCTATAGTCTTCATCAGGGGTGGATTCAGACTTCGACTTGAATCTGCCGACTACAGCTGGAATGGGTAACATCACTTTGACAGTCAGATATGTCTTCTGCGGAAACATTAGTGAAAGTGCTTTACTGTACTTCTTGAGCAAACATAATCTGACATTCTTTGTTCCCTACAAGCAAACTGCACATCAATATGTTTCAGATTATCATGAGCACCATTCATGACTTAATAATAATCTTTGCATTTTAATTCAGTGCGTACAGCATTGAAACACCTCAAAGCACTTCACAGGTATTTGCTGTCAAGTGTAGTGACTATTTATGTGTAGATAATCGTAGCAGCCGTTTTTGCTGATAGTAAGGTTCCAGCAATAGTATGAAGTGAATAACCAATTTATCTAGGGATTATTGGCCAGGACACTTGGAGACCACCTCAACAAGCAGACCGAACCTTGCTTGAAACATCTCATCTGAAGGATGGTACCTCTAACAATGCAGTGCTCTGTACTGTTTACACTCCAATGCAGTGCTGGGATTGTCATTTCTGGTTTCCTCTTTCATGCTTCCTTTTTAAATCTACAACAATATGGTAAGTTGGTACTAGAAGTTCCTGTATCTGGTTCATCACCAATATGGATCAACAGCAGGAGATGTAAAAAGTTCCTGGAAGGCATGATGTCTCTTATCAGTATTTAGTCAGATGTTACGAGTTGCTATTGGAAATCGGAATTCCGAGTTTTGTAGCTGAGAAAATGGCAATTTTACAACTCACATTGCCTCCAAGACAGGTTGCCTCCAAAGACAAAATCACAATGTAAAGGCAGTTTAGAGACTATCCTCGTCAGTTCTAGAAGAACACAAAAAATGTATGGATTGAATAACAGCCATTTCTCTGTTTGAGTCACTTCCTTTCAATGGTGATCACTGAAAGCATAAGTCATAATGCAAACCTATCAGGCCACATAGTATTCATATATTATTCATGAATTTAAGAAAGCAATGCCTTGTTTGAGTGCAAGTTACAATTTAAACATACCCAATTTAAACATACATTTTATAATGGACCTAGTGTGGAGTTACTGCACATTCACAGTATGGGCTGTAATTGTGTTTGAAGAGTCACTGATTATAGTTATTTGGGTATGAATCATGGAAGTCAATCCAGCGATTACCTGTGTTACTTAATATGTTTGACTTTATACATACAGGTTTATGCAAAGATAATACGATGTTTGCCTTCCTTCTAATTTTGTTCATTCATCTCTTAAAGCCGCTGATTTGGGTCAGGTAGGGTTCCTGGCCACCTGGTGTGTTAACCATAGGGGTGGGGGGGAGGAGTCCACACCTGAACAAATCCTATTTTCATTCAACATTCAACACACAAGAAACCTTTACAGATGGCAGTGTAGTGGGGGGAAGAGGAGAAAGGAGAGGGAAGCAATCACTGGATTGCATTCAAGAGCATGAACCCTGACTGAATTTTCCTCCATGGCCCAGGGAACCAAAAGGCCAAAAGCAGTGCCCTACCTGCCACCTCAGCCAAACTCAGCTCGCTCAGCACAGAGCAAGATCAAACTGTCTTTACTCCTGAGCTCTATCCTGCATCATACCTTAATCACCTGAGCTATTAGAAGAAGGCACTTTTGTTGACCTCTGGGTTTTGATGTCTTCTTCAGCTTACTGTCCAAAACCCAATGCCACCAAGACTTTCATGAGAAGCACTT